GCATTTCTCAGGTGATAAGTTCACTCAGCATCTTTGACTTTTTTTATCTGATACAAGGAAACATCGATCCCCTCGTGCCCTATCGTTTCTCTCACACATTAATTTTTGTTATTTACATGTTTCTATTTTAATCAGTTCTTGCTATGATACTAGGAAGTGAATGTCCTCTCGTTTCTCTCACACACTAATCTCTGTTAGGTATCTATTTTTATGCAATTTTTATGATAATACACAGTACGAACTATATGCATTTTCAATACCCTAGTAATACCGAAATTTTAAATGTTTTATTTCAAATTAATGAAAAACTAAAACCCTGAAAAATTAACGTAAAAATAAACGTAATGTCCGTGAAGAATTAATTTTTCACTTTTTTCCTCGCGATCTTTGCGTTATTTAACATTGCAACGTCATTTAACATCATTTGAAGTCACAAACGGCTCTTACATCTATTAACCACGGCAGTTTGAAGGGCGCTAAATTCACATTTAAGATTAACGAAATAAGCAATTACGAAGAAAGAAAATTAGAGAATGTAAATATAACGTTAGCGCGGTATGATAATTTGTCGGCACGGTCAGGTGTGTTATATGACCGAAGACATCCAAAAAGATGAATTCAATGCTTAATTGAAGAGAAGAAATTTAATATTTGTAAAAATATTTCTTGCTTTTATTAATTCTTTAGTTAGTGAGTGTCAAACGTATGTGCAAATTTTCACCGAAAGACGTTCATTAGAAAGCAAAATATATATAATATCTCAATAATTTTCGAACAGCCCTCGTTACGATTGTTTGACAAATAAAGTTTATTATCAAGCACCAGTAATCGAATTATTGAATTTGATTCACAATATCTATATTTGATTCTCGAACCCTCAAAAAATCCTTTCTTAAGAAGAAATTTTTCAAAATTCTTCAAAACCATATGTCAGTTTTTAATATTTTTAATATTCCAAACAACCAAAATGAATTTGAATTACCATACTTACATTGGATTCCGAAACATAATAAGAATCCTCACAAATAAAGATTATAGCGGGTTTAAGTAAATGTTCAACCAAGCCTCTTGCTTTACTCCTTACTAAGATATTAACAGTAGTGAAGGAGAAACTTCAAGAGTACTGTGCAACAATATATTTAAGAAGTGGTGTAAATCAGATGTGGATACTAGAAAATTACAAAGAACTTTTCGAAAACTTGAAATTAAAAGATTTTAGCTTAAATACTTACGACTTTTCAACATTATGCACATCCATCTGCAACGATAAATTAAAAGTCCAGGATTTTATCCGTTATCGTCTGTCGTCATGCGTTGTGCGTTAACATTTGAACTTTTTCAGCTTCTTCTCTGCAACCACTGAACCAATTTCAACCAAATGTGGCACAAAGCATCCATGAGTATAGGGGAATAAATTTTGAATTTCATGATCCCTGTCCCCCTGGGGCCTGAGGGGTGAGGCCAAAACCACTAAAATTAATGCAATCTTTAAAAATCTTCTTTTTAGTCAAACTGTTTGCGTGATTGTAATCAGCATTGAGTCCTCTACAAAACTGTGAAATTCATGGCCCTGGGGTTAGGGGTTCTAGTGTTGGGGTTGGACTAAATAAGTCTATAGTGAAATGCATTATTTCTTTGAAAATCTTCTTCTCTGCTCCTGGGTATTAAATAAACCAACTAAGTACATAATTATGATGAGCAAGAGTGCTTCTACCAAAATTGTGAATTTTATGGCCCCAGAGTCAGGGGTTCTGGTGTTAGGGCGGGGCTCCATTGATTATATAGTGAAAATGCATGAATTCTTTGAAAATCTTTTTCTCTGCTCCTGGGCATTAAATAGACTAATAACTAAGTGCATAGTTATGATGAGCAAGAGTGCCTCTACCAAATTTGTGAATTTTATGGCCCCAGGGTCAGGGGTTCTGGTGTTAAGGCGGGGCTCTAATGATTATATAGTGAAAATGAATTTATTCTTTGAAAATCTTCTTCTCTGCTCCTGGGTATTAAATAAACTAAGTACATAGTTATGGTGAGCAAAAGTGCCTCTTCCAAAATTGTGAAATTTATGGCCCCAGGGTCAGGGGTTCTAGTGCTAGGTAGGGGCAGAGAAGAATAATTTTAAAGAAATAATGCATTTTCACTATATTATCTATATAGCCCCGCCCTAGCACTAGAACCCCTGACCGAGGGACCATGAATTTCACAATTTTGGTAGAGGACTCAATGCTCAATACATTCATGCCAACAGTTTGCCTGCTTGATGTCCAGGAGTAAAGACGAAGATTTTTAAAGATTGCAATAATTTTAGTGGTTTTGGCCCCACCCCTAGGCCCCTGGGGGCAGGGACCATAAAATTCACAATTTATGTTCCCCTTCACTCATATAGCTGTATACCAAATTTGTTTGAAATTGGTTCAGTGGTTTAAGAGAAGAAGCTGAAAATGTTCAAATGTTACCACACGATGGACGACGAACGACGGACGACGACGGATGAAAACGGATAGCAATAGGTCACCTGAGTACAAGTTTTATTTGAAACTTGAATTCATCTAGTATTAAAAAAATCACTACTTTTGAAAACTTTTTACAATATGAGCCGTCCCATGCGAAAAGAACCCGTATTGGTATTACGCCATAATTGAGAAAAAACTTTGCCAAAAATTAACGTCATAGTTTGCAAAGAAAGAAAGAAAAAGAAAATGAGAGTGCCACAGGGATGGACTTTCTAGAGGTAATATCATAGACTTATTGACAGCACCAATTGATAGGGGGGAAATAACTTGCAAATTTTTTCAATGCATTGTTGCTTGTAATCAAAAAAAGTCTTTGTAAGCAGGTTATTTTGAACAATCATAATTAACTACTCTACCGTCATGTTGGTCAAAATATTGACGAGATTTTAGAATCTGCACAGGATCCATTGATTAAGAGTTATGTCCCGCTACTTTCAAGGTCAGCGTTCTGTTAATAGTAACACACTTTTAGAGTTATTCCCGATGAGTAAAGTATTTAAATTTACATATTATTGAAACCTTAAAATTCAACCATGCGATCGATAAAGGTGTTTAATACACATTATAAGTTTCTTTTTTCAAAATTTCTTAATCTTAAAACCGATAAATCAATGACAAATAAATTTCACGCATAAAAATAAAATTAATAAAAAAAAAAAAAAAAAAAAAAAAAGACAAAGACAAAAGAAAATTACATTATATGTGGCATTTTGGTACCGTAAATTCATATCCGGACACTTAATAAGTTTTGTTCTTGGGGAACAGTTCAACTTTGATGAAATCCTAAATTAATGAATATATGATGAGAAAAAAAAAAACAAACGGAAACCTCGATCCTAACCACCATTAAAACAAAGTATATAGCGACTTTTTAAAAACTTTTATTCGTGATATTTATAAATATTTTAACAATAAAGAATCATTTTAGCAAGGCAATGACAAAATAACGCCTGGATTATCATTTGAACATTTTTACGATCATAATGACTTGGATAATGTCCATTATGATTTCTGCTGACTATGTTACACATCCTGAGGACGGATTAACATACTAGTAATAAATGCAAAGTGTAGAAAAAAATATTATTGCGTCAGTTACAGCTCCAGCATATGTTTCTAGACCACATGTCAAGCGACATATTACCATTCCCTCCCCTCCCCCGGATACCATGTTGAATGAATTAGAGACACCCTATCCAGAGGCATCAGAACCGGGGGGAGGGGACTAGGAGTAGGGTTAGACTTCTTTGCAAAGATAGACATTATGTAAGCATTGAAAATTGGGGCTTACCTAATTTTGGTGGTTTAGCCCCCCACTTTCAATTAGCCCCCCCTCCTTAGCTCCCACTTTCAATTTGCTTCCAACGCCTATGCTATGAAAACTTTCAATAAATGAGCTAACTAAATACAGATGAAAACTAGAATTTTTTAAGTACAGTAAAACCTATGAGAGAGAAAGAATTTTCATAGTATTGAAAAATCAAATTGCCTCTTTTTCTTAAGAAAAATGTGATGCTTTAAGATGTTCAATTTAACCCCCCCCCCTTCTACCGAAATTATTACAGACTAGAATTTTTTAAAAAGGAACGAAATTATGATATTAAACAATCATATTCCAATTTTTTTCCTGAAAGACCTATTTCCCTATAACATTTATCGAAACCTAAAATATTTAAAACGTCAATATCTCAGGTCCTCAAATGATCTAATCACAAAAAGTTATCAATTATTAATCATACCGAAAAATTGAATGAATATTGATCAAGTTATACTCATTTGTTTCAAAGTGCGTTAACATGGTCAATATTAACGTACTTTTAAAAGAAATTTCATTTTTTCAAAGTGCGTTAGATTGGTTTCAAATTTAAATTTTTTTCAAAGTGCGCAATTTTTCAAAGTACATTGTATCAATGCCTCTTCCAATATTGTGAATTTCTTGGGTGTTAGGGCGGGGATTTAATGATTTCATAGTGAAAATGCATGAATACTTCGAAAATCTTTTCCATTGCTCCTGGGTAATATATCAATGATCTTAGTATTATATTTATGATGAAGAGGGTGCATCTAGCAGAATGGTTAATTTAATGCCCCCTGGGTAAGGGGTATAGTCTGAAAATAAATAAATTGTATGAAATCTGCTCTATGGTATTAATCAAATAAAATTCATATGATAAAAATAATTTTAAAATATGTGGCCACAGGGTCAGTGGTTCCTCTAGGGTGGGGTGCACAAATGGTTATAAAGTTGAAATGCATTTTCTCCTCTCTGTTACTCTGATCTAAGTCTGGGTATTTAAGTAACTAGAGTATGCATGCTAAGTGTAACTATAATTATGATAAGCAATGGTGCCTCTTTCATTTTTTATAGACTAGTTATTAGCTTTATGATATATGTAATAAAACAGACAGAAAAGAAAATATGAACTCAGAAGAGGAAATGTAAATGATAATCTCTATCCGTGAACTCCTTCAAATATCATCTGACATTTAACTAATTAAGGGAATGCATTGGCAAACTCTCTGTATTCTCATTTCTGTAGCTGTTCGTATGTTGTTAAATGGGTGTTGTCTGAGGGATTGTTGGTATGAGTATAGAGCAGCCTGAAGGTTCCCTGTCACCTGTTGACAGATCCCCAGAATATGCCACGATATCTCCCTGTAACCTAAATCTATAATTTGTCCCTGATCATAGTGCACTAGGGTCTGTAGATTATCTAGAGCTGTTTGTACTCGCATTGTGTTAACATGTCTGTAGCACAAGATCTCTAGCATGTATAACAGTACCACGGATGGTACAATTAATAAAGACCAGTGGTTCTGTAGAGCAGAATGTTGTTCAGGTATTAATTCACTAATGTAATGGATTTCATTGTTAAGTCTGATATTCCATGCTACAGTGTGTCTCATCTTTGTAGACCAGGACTGCCCCCCTACAGCCTTTGTATACATCTCTGTATCAACATTTAACCCGTACATCACACACGGCTGTGCCACTAACTTGACTTTGATCATCCCTATTATAGATAAAGCTTCCGTGTATCTTAGTGTCTTGTAATAATACATGGCTATGTACAGCATGTCTGTAATACAACCAAACTTGGCTGCTAATTTCAGCATTTGACAGGACATTTTGTCAACTCTAAACCTCAGTTTGTTGTCAGGTGTGTAAGTTTCCATGTGTAGTATTAAAGCGGTTCTCTGAAGGACACTACCGCTAAGTTTCTGTAGCGCTAAGACTTGATACTGTGTCAGGAGGGGTGAACCTATCATCTGTTCTATTGTGTGTAGATATCTCATACAGATATGTATGTCGAATTGTTCTGGTATTATGTAAATACATGATATTTCACAAAATAGATTTCTATCAAACTCAGCCTCAGAAATCAGAGTATGATCATTTGTACAGATAGAGTTTCTTGGGTTATAGAGGATATCTATAATATAAGATCTAATGGAGGGACTGTGTAGCAGGAATGCTAAACCCTTCTCATACAACTCTGACAGTCTTAAAAATAATTGATGTTGTTTGACGCCATGAATTTTACTCAGAAACATGTTGTTGTCTGGAATGAAAAAGTTAGGACAGACCCCCTCATACACCCATTTGAGGATGAGTTTAAAACAGACCCAGAAACCCCACAGGAGATTTTGAGGACACCATTGAGGTTTTGCATTTTGTTGAATCACCCAGAAAACTGCCGTCTTCACGTGGTAGGAACACAGTAATCTATCACCATCACCTACTCCATTGTTAATTATTTCTTTTAAGATCAATTTAAGTAAGCCGTATGTTAAGAACTGAGAGTGATTCATTACATACACAAGTTTTTGTTCTGCTTGGGAGAAAGAAATTCTCCATTCATGATCTTCATGATTTCCTAGCTTATGTCCAATTGCTACAAAGTGACATCCATTTTTCACTATATCATCAACAACATGAGGCTGGGGCCATGAGTGACATCTGTCTATCCATGTGGAGGCAGAGGGAGGCCAAAAGGCACTAGCAAAACAGTGGGCATTATCAAATTCTATTGTTGCAAATGTTCCACTGACACAGGGTCCATGTGGAGTGAGGTTATATGGTAGTGATAATGCAGATAAACTGATCTGTCTGTATTTAGAACTAGATACATAATATCTGTTATTCATTCCAACACACGCTCTCTGGATTTCTCTATACACTCTAGGTGACAGTAAATATAACAAAGTGAATCCTGGTGGACTATCAGAACAGTCACAGAGGATCAGTGTTTGTCTGTGTATGTTGTAATACTGAGACTGAGATAAGTCCCAGATTACACAGTGTTTATTTCGCCAGAACATCATGTCTATATCTGATCCTTTCAGTCTGAATCCTTCTCTGTAACTTCCACTCACCACCACACTGTCCTCATGACTTTTTGTCACTTTATTCATCGCCATCTCATAGATGTCCATTATATCTCTCCTCATGGCCACCACTTGTGAGGTCCCCACTTTGCGACACAGTCCCACAAACACTGACTCTGATATGTGTTGTATGGCTTTAGTACTGAGAATGAATAAAGTGGAATTTATATTCTTGTATAATTAATGTTTCACTTTTGTAAATCTATGATATAATTATCATGATTGATAAGCTTAATAAACTATTATGTTTATTAAAAAGAAATGTTAACAGTGTATATTTTCTCTTAATTAAAAAAAAAAGAATTTTTACATTCATACGTGTAAATCATAAAATAAAAAAAAACTACCTCACCTGAATCACTTATTTTTCAACTCAGCTAAATCATTCAATTTTTTTAAATAGTGAAATTTATAACTGAAAGTGTCTAGGGTCCGTGTAACACTTAACAATTCAAATTTCTAAAACGATTTAGAGTTTTAGAATGTTAATATATTAGTTCAAATATCTAACTTTCAAAAACTCAAACTGATTTGTTAAATTGAAATTTAACATTCTACTTCAAAAATCTAAATTTCCAACTTTCCAAACAGGTTTCAGAATTTTAAGTTTTTCGATTTTTATCTTAAATATTCAAAATTCAAATTTCCGAAAACAAATTTTGTATTTTAAACTTTTGAGCTTTTAATCTACCGTTTGTTTAGAAAGTTTACGCTTAACAATCTAAAATTCGATAACATTTTCGTCTTTTGTTTATTTAAAATTTACTTCAAACTTCCAACTTTCAAACACTTGAGATTTTTATAAATTTAGAATTTTGATTTAAAAACTCATCTTTTAAATAACCAAACACTTTTGTACATTTTGAGTTTTTAGAAGTTTACTTCAAATATCCAAAATATCAAATTCCCTACCTGGTTTAAATTTTGGATATTTAAAGTAAAATTCTAAAAACTCAAAGTGTTAAGTTATTAGAAATTAAAACATTTGAATCAAAATTCCAAATTTCTAAAAATCTTAAACGTTTGAAAGTTGGATTTAAGAAGTTTGAAGTCAATTTCAAATAATCAAAAGACGAAAAATATTACCGAACTTCAGATTGTTAAGTGTAAACTTTCTGAACAAACGGTAGACTAAAAACTCAAACGTTTAAATTCCAAAAATCGTTTTTGGTAATTTGAATTTTGAAAATTTAAGGGTAAAAATTTAAAATATCAAAATTTAAAATCTGTTTGGAAATTTGAAAATTTAGATTTTTGAACTAAAATATTAAAATTCAATATACTAAATCAGTTTGAGTTTTTGAAAGTTAGATATTTGAATTAATATATTAACATTCTAAAACTCTAAACCATTTTAGAAATTTAAATTGTTAAGTGTTACACGGACCTTCTAGGGTACTGGAATGTTTTAAATTCAGTGATGTAAAATTTTAAAACCAATTTGACTGTCAACAAATTACACTGAATCAGATGATTAAGGAATTGTTTTTAGAGTTATAAATTCTTGTCATGAAAACTTACGTTTGTAAGCTTCTAATGGAGTCCATTTTCAGTGGCGTATACTGTAAATCACCTTTTATTTGCGAGAACTTTATTTTCGCGTAATTACGCGAGACGGTATCCTCGCGAAAATTTCATTCTCGCGTATAATAGAATTCCGTAGGATTATATAGAGCAATGACCACAATTCGTGAAAATTTTGTCTCGCTTATAAATTGTCATTGACTATCTCGCGAAAATAAGGTGTCGCGAAAATTAAGTGATCTACAGTATTTCTTTCTGCTAATGTGTAGGCTAGTGTGAAGTCACAGATTTAACCTCAGGCGCAAAGTATGAGTAGACAAGGAGCTTCCTCTCAATAGGTATTGGGGGTCAAGCTCAGACATCCACAATTCTAATTTGACAAGTGAAAATAATATTGTAGGCGTATCTCAGTTATATCATGATGTGTAACTCTGCTTAGGAAATATGGAAACTCTTTTACTGGAACAAAGTCCGTCAAAATGTTGAATTTCCTGCTTACCCAAAATAACTCAAGTTACATGTATCAATATCGTTTCCTGCATGTATTATAGACTCCTGTTGCTTTCGATGAAATTTTCTGATACAGACTTGAAATTAATAACACTTGAACTTTGGATTAAAATATTTCCAGCTATGGGATTAGTTTTGTCTTTAGATATAAAGCAGAATAGGATAGGTATAAATTTGTGGATTTTACATGTAAGAATGTTTTTTTATGTCCCCATGCGCGGATCTAGAGGGGGGGTCGGGGGGGGGGGGGGTCAGGACCCCCCCTGGAATTTACCAGGTTAAAAAATGTATATACTAAAACAAGAAAAAAGTTACCATGGACCCCCCCTGGAAAACGCTGACCCCCTCTGGTAAACGCGAATATGTGTGAAATGGGTATGAATAGTGAAAGATTTGAGGCAATAGAAGTCACCACTACCCCCCCCCCCCTCCCCCCACGAAATAGGTTTTTGACGTTTGGGCGAGTTTAGTTTTTTTTTTTTTTTTTTTGTCAAGAAATTTGTGGGATTGGATTTTTTTTCTGACTGGGGTGGACCCCCCTTGGAAAAAATTTCTGGATCCGCGCCTGGTCCCTCTATGAATATGGCCGGGGCATATTAAGTGTTTGTTTTGTTCGTCTTCTGTCCTTCCGTTACATTTTGCATTTAGCTCAGTTCAAAGCTCAGTTTGAAAGAAACTAAGATATTTTCATCAAACTTCATATGCTGTTAAGTATCGATGATAGTCACTCAGGTAACTTATTGCTATCCGTTTTCTTCTGTCGTCGTGCGCCACAACTTTATGTACTGGCCCCAGGGATACCATGGGGGGGGGGGCTCTACTTACATACTAGTACTGAAAGTGAATTAATTGTTTGAAATCTGCTCCTTTTTATTAATCAAACATTTTTGATAAGCAAGGGTGCATTTTCAAAAATTGTGCAATGCTTGGACTTAGGGTCGGGGGTTCATGTGTGGTAGGGGCACTACTCATTATTGCTGAATATTACCGTTAAGTTGAAATGCAGTTTTTGTTCCCCTACCCTGCATATGGGTATTAAGTAACCAAATTAAGCCATTGCTAAGTGCTTAGTTATTTTATTAAAACCATTGACGATGTATAGTCAATTAACGATGGTTATTATGTTTCCCCGAACGAAGTCGGCGGCGACAAATTGCATTTGTATTGCGACCACTGGTTGTAGTTTTGCAGTGAGGACGTTCAGTTTCAAACTATCTACCGTTGCCATGGAAACCTTCAAAAAGCGACGAATTTTGTCCGAGAGTGTTCTGTCTAGTCCCTTGAACATTCGTCATGAAACTTTATTGATTAGTATCTGTAATTGTGCGTGTTGCATTTAAAAATTGCAAATTGTCAATAGTTGCCATAGAAACAGGGGAAAAGTAGAAATTCTGTAACTATGATTTTTAAATCAAAGTACTGTAAGGACTGATACGAGTTGATGATTGTCCAAGCTTAGCTAATGGGTATTGTTTTAGTAATAAAAAAATGAAAGTCTTGTCCAGTTCGGGGCGACATACGCTATTGCTTGCAGTAGCACACTTTAATTCTAGTTTCCATACTCATGCAAATTAGAAATATCCCGGTGAGCTTGAAATAAAAGATATCAGAGTTTGATACACCTATTTCATATTTAGATATTTTACTTGAAAGAAGTAAATGGTAAGCTTACAAGCAAGCTCTCTGATAAACGTAATGAGTTTAACTTTTCAATCGTGAACTTCCCTTACTCATGCAGCGATTCCCGGTACCTTCATCACCTGCACAGAGTTTTTATATCTCTTAGTTGATTCTATACGCAAGAGCATGTTCTACTTATGTACAATTTCAAAATCGAGGTAAATCATTGACATACAAGATGATGAAAAAGAATATTAGCAGTCTTGTTTAAAGTCATCATTTCGTAAGTTCTATGATCGAAACATTGACTTTGTCAGCAAATACAATTTATCAGTGCAGACTGATGTTTTTCACACTAATTGTCAGACCATTATTAACACACTAAATTGACAGATTTTTCCGTTATTTCCCGATCGTGACAATGAGCACATTGTGGGTGTGACCGGTTGTCAGGGAATGCTCACTCCTCCATGGCACCTGATCCCACCTCTGATGTTCTAGAGGTCCGTATTTGCTCGGCTCCTTTTTTGTATTGTTTTATGGGCTTTTGATTTCAGGGAGTTGCGCATTGAGGTCCATGTCAATATCTCCAAATATAGTCTCAAGTGAAGCGACTCTGTTGTGGCTGTTCGTTTGCAAAGATTCCCCCAAAAGAGAAATAACTGTACGCCGTGTATACAGCCCTACAGCTGAGACAGCCCTGCAAGATATGTCGTCTGCCAGGGTTGAATCTGAATTTCTAATCTCGTGGGTTTTTGTGTACTTTAAGAGTAAAACCTGGCACAGTTATGTAGGAATCGGTTAGTTATGTTCCAAAGTATGACATAATTAATACTACTCATATCATACTTTGCATGAAGGGGGCCCAGGAGGCGAAGCCCCCTGAAGCTCTTTGGTTTTTGTGTATTTTAAGAGTAAAACTAGGCACAAAAATATTGGTATTGTACTAAAAGTATGGCAATATTAATATAATTCATATCATACTTTGAAATTTTAGGGGAGGGGTCATACACATGTATGCCTTCCTTAAATCCGCCACTGTGTACTTTGTATTAATTTATCGGGAAGTATACTTCTTTGACAAGAAAATTTATCTTTTGTGGTGTTTAAGAATTTGTTTGTATTTAAAGTGATTCTTCACATCTACTGAGTGCACATTGTCATGTTGATCAACTGAATACAAGTATCCAGTCTGGTAATCTGATTTTGAATATTATTTGGTTCTAAAATGGCGAGCGAAGCGAGCCAAAAAAAATGCTGAATTGAACATGTTGAAGATTCTGAGGTTAAATTACACGTAAATAAAAATGTATTTTCACAATATTTGAATATAACAAGTCAAGGTCAGATTATTTATTTTCTTTTAATTTTAATTTTAATCAATATTTTATTATGTTAGATTACATAATTGGATTGGACATCAGGCATGGCCTATATAAGTCCTCTCCAAAAACGAGGTAAATTTATTTTCTTTGCAGAGGAGGACGGATTATTTATTTTCAACATTGTTAGGGACAGATTATTTATTTCCAAATTCTGCCAGCCCCCCCCCCCCTCAGAATCAAATGGTCGTCCCTTATGGAAGATAACTTGTACGCACTCTCTGCCCGCCATCCTGTAAGCTTGACCGAAAATGGCTGACTTTGAGCCGAAAACAACACAGGATTTATTTGTGTGCCCCATTTGCTTTGAAAAATTGACGGATCAGATACAGTTTCCAAATTGCTTGCATACATTTTGTAAATCGTGTTTGATTTCCTATCTTTCCTCGACGGTTGTTAAAACTACTGAAGTCACGTGTCCTGTTTGTCGACGGAGCTGTGAGATAAAACAAAACGAAAGTTACCAAGATTGGGTTGAAGGTTTGTCGAGAATGGATGGTTCTGATATCGAGGACAATAGAAACTGTGTGTCCGAGGAAAAGGCCAATCGATGTGACGTATGTTCTCGACAGAACTTAGAAGCTGTAGGCGGATTTTGGTGTGTAGACTGTAGTGACATGCTATGTACGAAATGCCGCGACATCCATAAATCTATAAGATCGACCATGAAGCATGAAGTTATCGCAAAATCTGAAATTTCAAATTTGAAAATGTTCAGAAGAAATTTGTACTGCGAAGACCATTCTGACAGAAAGTTAGAAGTGTATTGTTTTGACCATGAAACGCCCTGCTGCCTCATGTGTGCTACCATCACTCATCGAAAATGTGATCGAGTAGAGAGTCTTGAAGAGTGTTCGAAGTCGGTTAAAACTGAAGATGTGGATTCACTTTTAAATAGTTTCAAAATATTGCAAAAGGATTGCATTGCAAAAGAGAAATTAGAGAGGACAAGTCACTCAGAATTAAAATCCACTTGTTCTCAATTAGCAAATGATATCAAGGTTAAAGCTGGGAAAATGATCATACACGTTCAAAACAAAGAGCAAGAACTTTTGCAGGATCTTTCCACTGTCGAAACATACAAAAGTGAGGAATTTGAAAAGAAAAGAGAAATGTTTCAAGAGACAAGACAAGCAATTTGTAAGCAAATTGATTCTTTGACTGCAGTCAAAAGTTTAAGCACTGTACATATGTTTCTAGAAACAAATAAATGTAAGAAACTCTACACTTCATTGAAAGACGGTCAAGCAAAGTGGGAATTACCTGATGAAAAATGTTCTGTATCTTTGGAATTAGATAGCTTTGTTGTTAATTTTGACGCAGCTTTCAAAACTTTCGGTAGATGTAAATTGAATAAGGTCAACATGCGTGAGGACAATCTTGAGATAATTTCCCGCATATCATGTCAGTGCGACGTCAGGGATCTAGAAATTATTGATAAAAGTCATATTGTTTTTTCTTCCTATAGCGACTGTTCGGTACATTTGTATAACACTGACGGTTTACAAAAAGCTAGTCTTCAGCTGGGTGGACAACTTTGGGCCATATCAAGATGGGGAGGAAAAATTGCGGTAGTCAATATCGGAGACAACTCGATTGAGGTTCTTAATGTTACATTATCACCACCTAGTATTGCTCTTGATAGCTCCATAAAACTAAACTACATACCATCAGGAGTGGCCGAAAAGGGAGAGGATCTTATTGTGCTGTGTGACACTAAAATGCTACAAATATCCAAAGCTGGGAATATTTCTGAATTATTCACGACACCTTCTAAATGTTCATATGGTTTTTGTTGTGCTACTCGGGATGCACTTTTGTACACAGATCCAAATAACAGCGGACAGTTATACAGTGTGAAGAACGAGGGATATTTTCAAAATCGGTTTGAAAGAACGTACCCCGAAGTGAAAAATCCTGTCGGTGTTACCACTGATTCCGATGGATATATGTACTTAGTTGGTTATTCATCGTCATCACTAGTACAGCTTGATAATGATGGAACATTTCTACGGACTCTGATAAAGAATGACTGCGATGTAGGAAATCCTTATGGGGTGCGGATATTTGAAGATTTGAATTCAGTGAAGCTTCTTCTGGCCACTGGTCAGTTTATAAATGTGTACATGTTTACTCGTGTAGAAAAATGAATAATGCGATTCAATCGTTTCATAGTTCACTAATTGCTTTATATTTTTTTACACATATATGCCAAAGATTGAGTCAGTGTATAAATCATGTACAGAATGGTTTTACAAAGTATTAACACCATAAAATTTTCAGTACATAGAATAAGATCAACTGAGACACATAAACTTCATCTGCAGATTACAATGGTATATTGCTACGTAAATGAGGGACGTTGACGATCGTAAACTTGAAGTCATTACGTTTATCATAAAGTTCTATTGTTCATCTTCCATTATTGTCTTTCTCGAATATTATATCCAGTTGGGTCTAAAAGCACTAAGTACACAGTATATTACACTGTAATTGCATAATATCTCTCTGTAGGGATATGGGTCATTTTTTCAACGGGTGTCGATTTCCACATGTAGTAACTGACCCCTAAGATTCTTTTAAAAAACAAAATGCAATTTCTAGGACCAAGGGTCATTTTTAGCCTCAAGAAATGACCCCATGCAGGTCACTTTTCTATGGGGACAGTTTGTAAGTACTTACCCACTGCACATATTGGTACATACTGTCGTAAGGTGCAAAATTACACATACATGTATACTGTGACGGTCAGCAAAATTTGTCAACCCTTTAACAGCATAAGTCGTGGCACCATTAGTAGAAGCACAGATACACGGATGATCTTGATGAATATGATGATGTTGTTGATGATGATAATTATGACGTTGATATTGAATACCGTATAGGCTTATTTGTCATAACTTTCCAAACTCCAGTGAATAAAAAAAATCAAACTGTAATGGGGATCTTAAGTTATTTGAGCTCCCATGCAAACTCCAAAGGAGTTTAAAAATCATAGCTTATATCAAGTTCATTATCGGTTATTAGATTGATAACATTATTATTATTAGTTCTTTTGTTGTTACCAACTTCGGAAATTATTTGGCTTTAAATATTGCTATAGAAGGTAAAAGAAATCCTGACTGTGGAATAATTTTAATTCGCGGGGCGCAATGTTCGAGGACAAGAAAAACTCTACATATTGGCGTTGGGGTGAAATGTCGTGGGTTACTCCATTATCCGATTGCTCAAAGATCTATTACGCCTACAAAATAAACGTCCGTGGGGACGTAAATTCTTGGGTAAAGGTGACCCACTAAATACAGTAACATTGGTCCTCCACGAACAATGATGATTCTAAAGAACATTAATTTAATGACCAGATATATTCACATCTAAAAAACGAGGTTAGTTATTGACAAACAAATTGATGAAACAAGAATATTTACATCCACTAAATCGATCTTTTTTTCTTTAATTCTTATGAAGGACATGGTCATTTATCGATTGCATAGACGACACTTAGCAAGTCACGTGCATAGATTCCTTAAACAATGGCCTTTGCATAAGTTATGCATAAAATGATATGATATTCATCGATATTACAATTAACGTATTTAATTTTTCTTTGAATGTTTTCTCATACATATGTCAATTTACACAATAAAATATGTCATTCTTAATTAGTACAGGAATTAACGTCGCAGCTATTGCACACACACACACACACACACACACAAATACATACAGTAACATGCTTACGCAGGTTACCTTAATATTTTTTCTGCAACAGCTGCGACATTAATTCCCATACTAACAACCAAAGAAAAGCATTTTTATGCTCTACGAATACGCACAATTTCTAAAACGAGGTAAATTATTGAAAAACAAGTTCATGAAACAAAGATATCATGCAGGAGTCTCGTTAGAAGCCATCATTTCGTAAGTTCTATGGTGACCGTCGATACTAGTACAATGACCTTGTCGGAAAATACAATTTATCATTAAGTCAAATGCTGAATAACTTTTTTCATACTAATTATAAGCCCATTATTTACACCCTGAATCCCCGGTCATGACAAGGAACACACAGTGAGTGTGACCGGTCGGCAGGGGATGCTCACTCCTCCATGGTACCTGATCACACTTCTGATGTTTCGGAGGTCCGTCTTTGTCCTCTTTTTTTTTTTGGTTTAATTGGACTTTTGAACTTGAATACTGTTCGTTAATTCCATATATTTTATTAAACCTTGATTGGTGAATAAACATAATATCGTTAAACTGATATTGTCTCGTTTAAAGTCGTAAGTTCTGTGGTCGATATTGTCTCTGGACAACGATCTTGTCAGCTAATAAATTAGATATTTAAGTCCTGATTGTGACTGATGGTTTTCATTTTATTTGTTAAGCCATTAATTATTTACTAACTGAATATTGTTGACGGATTTTTTTCCGTTATCGAGGAGCGCACGGCGGGTGTGACCGATCAACAAGGGAGCTCACTCATCCATGGCAAATGATCCCACATCTGATGTTATAGAAGTCCGTGTTTGCTCTACCCCTGATTGATATTGGTCTTAATGGAATTTTGAACCTAAATATTATTTGTTATTGTCCAAAATTGTTTCGACAATATATTCCACATAATTACTATTAGATTAAGTAATGAAGTCATCAATTTAATTATTCTAAGATCCAATTAAAGGTTACTTTAATTATTTTTATTTTGATAACCCTTTAGCAAAGAGAATATAGTGGTTGAAATAATGAGCATAAATAATTTAGTAGATATTTACAGAGAATTGCATTCTGAAGTCATAGAGAAACATAAAGGAAATTGAATCTCTGGAAATGAAAAAAAAATAGACCAGTTCATACAGTGCATTATATTCAAGAATCAGTGAGATTAAGCATGGAAAAAAATGGAAAATCAACAATTTACATAGCATTATAAGCTGATCAATGTTCCTGGAATTTTTTTTTTTTTAAAAAAGCTTCTCTCTGACATGGTAAAAATTAGGTAAAATTTTTGTTTAATCGAATGGAATGAAACTTTACACATCAACAAAACAAATATTTTACACATTATATTGTGCTTAATTTAAATTACTAGTGAGTAATATAACGAAGATTGACACCGTCTACGAACTTTTCGAACAACCCTCGTATTAGAAGGCTGATAAGATCGATGTGTCAAGGCATGAACAAAATTCGTAATTTTTTGTGTGTGTAATTGTGCCTTTTGTTTCTCTGGTAAGATGTAGAACTTAAATCTCAATTTCTTTTCACACACACAAACAAAAATTAGGTATAGCAAAATGTCAAATTTTTATCAGCGGCAGATGATTCGGGTGTCGTAATTTTCATTAAAAGGTTCTCAATACATAAACTCCCAATTTTTTTCAAATCATGAATCATGAACAGTTACTTCGTTTTTTATTACGAACTCTGTCGCTGATTTGTGCCAGACCTTGGGTTAAATGGAAACACTTTGTCAAAATGGATTAAAAATTGTTTTAGAAGAATCGTATATTAAGAAATTTAAAAGGCAATAAGCAAACCATCTGTCCCCTGGTTTCACTATAAACCATGGGTGATCAAGAATGAGAAAACTACGAAACAAATATCTCACGGTTTCAGCCAGCTATGGGTGTAACAACATTGTCTTTGTTTGCATGGCTCATTATTATAACTGTACATGTATATTAGAAGAGTTAAGGGTATCCCATCCTCAGCAAGGAAGGATAACTCCAAAAAATAATAATTAATTTAAAATGCATCAAAATGAAGCTTGAAAATGACATTTTTTCAAGCAACAATTTTCATTCTATTCATCTTTATAAGATTCAAGGTTTTTGGAAGTCTTAAAAAGGGTCTTATAAAAGTTGACATTTGTACCCTATAAAATGAAAAAAATTAACACAGTTTTAGAGAAATAAGACTTTCTATAATCCAGCCTTAGATACCAATGCTTATCACATGATATGAAATAAGGAGTGATTTGTGGTGTCTTGCAATGATAGCAAAAGCCTTTTACACTATGTATTATAGAATACATGACGGAAATACAGGACAAAATTTACCAAATAAGAATAAAATTCATGACAATTTCTCTGAATGCCTGCATACCTATCGTTTTTTAACCTGAAACATATTTGTTGATCAATGTGCAATTAGACAATGCATTGCTAATATTCCAATTCTTTTCTGAAAAAATATTGGAGATTTGACAATTTTCCCTATATAATATGATTAACTTAAGTTTAATCTTTAACTTTACAGAAATACTGTGGATAAATTTACATAACTTTGTGGGTTCAGAGATAATTTTATGAGTATTTTTATTACTTACGAGGGGTGATCAAAAAGTTCGCGAACTATCTCTATATTTACAAAACTGCAATTCATATCAGATTGAAATTTGGCACACATACGAGGGTTGTCCCATAAAATCGTGGACAAAGCGTTTTTCTCGAAAAGTAATGGGCGCACTAAGCTGAAATTTTCAGTAAATGTTTATTCATCATATTTAAGTGTATCATAATGTTTTTGATAATATATATACAAAAAAAGATTTTAATCTGCTTGAAGGTGCACAGGGTACGGTTCTACGGCGCACGGTAAAAATAGCAGGGTTGTATTAAAGAATATTAAAGTATTAATTCGTAATAAAAGTTTTCAATACATGAGATAAGACTGAAAATTATCCTTATTCCATTCCTTAATCAATTCTGTCGTCTTTTTAAAAAATTCAAGGCATTTGGTTAATTTTTGGCAGTTTCCCGAGCATTTGAAATGGGAAAGTAATAAACACAATTCACGAAAAATGGCGACTTTTTATGACGTTACGGCGCACCGGAGAGCAGTTCAGATAGATTAGGATGTTGTTATGACGCCTTAAGAGACTTTAAAAGAATACAGAAGAAAGAAAATATGAAAAATATCACCAGATCTTTAGTATATAAATGAAATGAAAGTTTTCTTAGTGAAGTCTTCGTGATCGAGTCCCCAGATATTACGAAACATATAGACAGACTGCCATTCGTAATAGCAAAGAACGCTGTCACTGTCGACCGTCGATGTGGGATTCTCTTTTAGTTGAATGATGGTAAGAATACTGTCTGTAACTTGCTAAAAAATATTCAGAAGATCGCATGAGTGTGCCACATTGGTTTCTTAACTGGTTACAGATACTCACATATGTAAATCAATAAAATTTCTAAATTTAAGTGGGGCTTATCCAACTTTAAGTTTAGCAAAGATGAAACGTGACGCTGTTTTAGACACTTTGACGTTATCATCCGTGCGCCGTAGGGCGATACAGTACATAACATAAAATATCACAATTTGTTTACCTATGCATATATCTATTTGAAATTTGCTATGTATATTTATAATTTATCAACTAAAAAGTGGTGAAAATTTCAGAACGCAGTGATGATTATTTTTCAAACTAGACAACTTGTCCACGATTTTACGGGACAACCCTCGTAGAATCATATACATGGTCTATAAATAGCATATGTAATGGAACGTTTTGCCCCATGTTTGTGACGTCACAATGTGAAAATGACGTCATAAGGTAGATCACTTGTGACGAAAAATGGTTGACTCAGTCGTATTCGAGAAACGAACGGCTGTAAAGTTAAACGTACATCTTAGAAGTTCCTTTGTAGAAGTTTATAATAATTTGTACACGGTTTACGAAGACAAAAGACTTGCCATAAGTTTAGTCATTAACTGGATTGATTGTTTCAGTGAAGGAAGTGAGATGTTTAAAAATGATGTTTGTTCTGTTGCCCGGTGAAAGCAAACTGGGAGAGAGACGTGCCATTTGTTAAGCAATTTGATCTGAAAGATCGCCAACTTACAGTTAGAAAAATAGATGAATATCTTTACAATACTAGTAATATAATTATCAAATACCTAGTATAGTTTACTTTAGACTTTAAACATATCAGATATGATAAAGTGAAGGCACCCATACTTTATCCACATGAAATCAACGACGCTCAAAAGACAGAGGACTTGGGTTTTGATGGTCACTTTGCTCATTCTACAAAAGGATATTATTATCCACCCAAACCATTGCAGAGATTAGGCCATTTCTGACAAATGGACTGTTTTTGTTGCAAAAAATAACTTGCATGGTAAATATCAGGGCGGACAAACTACGTCACTTAGGGTTTTCGCTTAAGTTAATAATGGCGGAAATTTCGAGCGCCTCGAGGTAAGTTTTTCCTTCAATTTATCTAAATTAAAGTTATGAGGTCAAATTAATTTCTGGCAAAGTACTTCAACTACTTTATGATATATGTTAACATATTTATATGACTGCAAAAGCCAGTATTTATTGTAACAACCCCTGGCAAACTTGAAAAGATGCGAGGTTATCGCCAACAATAACATGCCGTTTTTGACAAATGCAGATGTTCGCATAGCTTTGCCGAATTATGTTCAAAATATCTATCGAGATTTTAGTTGTAAATACAATTACCTTAACGTCTGATTATTTTCTTCTTAATTTAACATGCAACTGTTGGCAAACAATTCAAATTTTAAAAAAAGTTGTCGCTCACATATGTTTTATTTGAGGTTATCGCGTACATAATTATATAAGAGTCCGAAAAAAAAAATTAAGCTTCTGTGACAGAACGCTAGAGAGCATGTCACGTGATCGCCTATATCACGTGATCCGCGCATGGGCAGAATGGTTTCAGATGCGCATAAAAATAGGAGATGGCTACTTAGAATTATTTTCAACACTGAAACCCCATATCATTTTCTTTTTCGGAAGTTATTCAATTAGTTTGCGAACTTTTTGATCACCCCTCGTACGTGCTAATTTTATAAACCTGAGGATCGGACTACCTTAAATTGGTTTTAACGCTTTTTTTGGAAATCCAACGTATGTGGCAACGCAGTTTGAAAAAATTACGCATTTTTTTCAAAGTGCGTTAAATTCGGGACACATTCAACGCACTTTGAAAAAAAATTCAAAGTGCGTTAAGGGTGTACATCAACATTTTTACCATTGTTACATTTAACGCACTTTGAAAAAAATGTTAAAGACAAAAAAAATCTTGACTTAGATTTTAGTAAATGAATTGAAATCAATTTGTAATAATTATATCGTTCGAAAAAACGTTTTAAAGTACTTGGACACAGATTTGAAATTAATATTTTCTGTATAATATCACGAATTATATATTTTAATAGCATTTCACACAAAAAATAACTATAAATCTTATTTCATTTAAAAGTTATTAAAACTTCAATCTTTTGGCGGGTTTGATTGACACATCCTTGCACTTTCACAAATTTTAACTTTATTCTTAATTCTTAGGAAAAGTGGCAATCTTGTTATGCATTAATGAGAAATATTAAAATTTTAATCCAGAAAAATGATTTAGTTCAGAGTAGAAATGTTAGAAAGCAAAACCCCTTCACAAGTATCGTCATTCCGAGCTATGTGTTGTGTACAGAGTTTAGCAAATCGATCACACTCGTGTTATGTACAAATTTTATGTAAACAGGGCACGAGCTCTGTTATTGTTGATGTTTACGATTCATTTGCGTTCAATATCAAAGTCTGCTCACCACAACTGCAATTGACAATATATTGAGTGTTTGTTTTGCTTTCGAACATGTCTACTCTGAATATGTAATATATTGTGCTGTTATACACGGCCTCACATTCAAAATAAAGCTGACCCATCGTATATGTCTTTTATTGTCTAGGATCTTGATTATACTCAATTAGTAGAAAAAGATATAATGCATGGAACAATTTTCAAATATATATCCTAGCTCAAGGCTGTGATCCATAATGTCCAAACAGCATAAAAAGTTTAAACTAGTAAACATAAGGGATGACGTGGAATTTAGAGGCACTTGGCTTATGTCAAATTTATGTAACTGTATGAGCACCAAGGTACTATTACAGTATATTGTGTTTTTACAACATTTATTAGGAAGATTAATGATTAGACATTGGTCTACAGTAACACAGTACATAATGAATCAAAATTATTGAAATTATATTGCAAATATGAAAAAAACATGTAACACAAAATAATTTACCTGCGGAAAACGTTTTAATGTAGAAAAAAAGTTCATTGTAAGCATTTCCACTTGAAATCTCACAGACTCATTAATTTGTTGATAGGAAAAAAAACAAAAACAAAAACAAAAAACGAAAAGGTAAAAAGTTTGCCTCCCCAAACTCATCATGCTTATAGTCTGTAAATAATAAACTTGATCAATGTGACCCCCCCCCCCCCCCCCCCCCCCCCAAAAAAAAATGTAATCGACTAGACTTTTCAATTGAGGGAACACAAGCATATAGTATCTGCATTTTCTATATTAATTTTATATAAGAATTCTATATATGAACAAATTATTACACTCTCCCCCTTCCCATTTATGGTTCCTACGGATTTAGATATCCGATTTTATCCGATTGTTCTCATTCTTGCATTTTTAGAAGAAAGGTGAAGGACGTTTATTTTTTATCCAATCAGAATAAAGGTAAATACTTCTGCGGTTCTAATATTAGCGCGGTATTTTGGACTCCTTTTTTGCCATCATTAGAACGAAAGTATTTTCAACATGTTACATATGATATACAAGGAACTTAAAATATGAGGAATGATGCGAAAAAAGGTATAGCGTAATAAAACAGTCAAAGACTTTTTCTAAGAGTCGGTATGTAAAGGGATTTTTGTCATTTTGTTGAAATTTACTGCAACTTGAAAACTAGAGGTTCCTCATTTTGAGGATATCCAGTGCTGAAGCTTGATAATAATTCATTGAAAATTTATGGTATTAATAACTTGTATATTAATTATGACTAATCAATTTCACTTCACATCTTTGATCTCTATTGCTACTTAAAAATTAAAAACGAATTTTTACACAAAAATCACTCTAAAAATGCAAGTAAAACGATTATCTGACAGACCATTTAATCCTGACATCTTTTCTTTGTAGCAAGTGCAAGTCCCAAGGGAAGACGGAAGTTGAACTTTGTGGAAAAGAAAGAAAAATTACCTTTGACTGGAAAATCCATATTTGTTGATGTTAAAGAACTAGCTCAGAGTCGTTTAATAAAGGAAGATATCAAGAGGCTAGGAGCGGTAAACAAACATGAATTTTAAAGCTGAACACAATTCGTCAAAGGAATGTGTCTTCCATATTTATTATTCAGACTCTTGCTATGTCTGAGGGCCACAATATATATTTCATGCCGATACCCATGACAATACAGCAGTCACTGCCAGTCAGGTATAATGAGGCCTAGAAAAAAAATATGTTTGTTTCCGAACTTCAACTGCAAAAAATATTTTCAATGAATAGGCAATTTTTTTTTGTCAACATTTGACAAAATATTACTTGTTTAAAAAATTATATGTGACTTAACTTGTCATTATTGATAAATAAGCCAAACACCGGTACCTCGAATTACCGAAATGCCCCAGATTTACCGAAATGGCCCTGGTTGAAATATTGCCACATAAATGAGACAAAGCCCATTAAAAAAAATATTTTGATTATATATGAAAGGTGGTGAGTTTATTATACCTAATTTAAACTTTAAAAATAAAAAAAAAAACAAACATGTTTTTTTTTCTAGGCCTGAATGCAAAGAGTATACCCTGGTGCTGATATCTTTATAGATAGTTATATCAAGAATGGCATATGCCTATTTATGAGTCATGTTCAGCTTTAATAAATTCAAGAAATTTTATCTGTGTCAATCCTGTAATATTGTAAAGGAAAAGATATTTCATATATTTCAGTTATTTATGTGTAATTTGTGATCTTCTGTTTTTCAGCGAGTTGACGAATTCTTCCACAAAGAGATCAACTATGTGATAACGAGTAACCGGACTTCAAGGTCAGATAAACATGACCCCTTACAGTCCCCTGACAGTCCGTCCACTGTATCGACCCCCAGTCCTTTCAATACGGGTCCTTCCCCATCACCTGCTGCTGGGAACAAGCCTTCGCAAGAGTCCGTAAGTTAAGGATCTCATCAACATTGCTTTTCTTGACCTCAAATCAAAGCAGTTTTCTCTTAGTAAATTTATAATATGCCCCACCTCCCCCAAAAATTAAATGTATTTTCAAAGTTTATTTTATGACTTCGATAAAAATTTCAGAACAAAATGGGTAAAAGACTTTCTTTTGAGAAAGTGTAATGTACATTATATACTAAGGTATTTGGCAAAAAGTCATTTGTTGAAATTCAGATTATACATGTAAATTTGTGTTAACTTTTTAATTTTAGGTTATAAGAGGAAAAGCTATTGCAAAACGAGCAGTTACCAAAGAGGTAAGTGTTGTCATAGAAAGTTGAATTTATAACCAAAACATATACTTTTAAATATTCTTAGAAGAAAACTAAAAATTATTCCTCAGTATTGTAGCCTGAAGTTTTCTAGAATTTTTAAAAAAAAATTAAGTCCTTGCAATAACACGGATAACAGTGTTTTCAATAAGATTTTCAATAGAAGGAAAAATGGATGGAATTGCAGGAAACTATATCTGGGGGCCAAAATAAATGATATTGCCAGGGCAGATAAATAATATGGGGTCCAGCGATATAGATGCCCCCAGGCCGAAAATGAAATTCAGCATTTATGACTCCATTTTCTTACCTCTCAGGCCATTAAAAAAGTACATTCCTGTCACTATAAATTATCAAATTTTACCTAAAAAGCCAATTAGAAAACAATTTTTGACTTTTCACAGATTTATTTGACAGACTGAGTTATTTTTGTTCTGAAAACTATGTGTCTATGAAAACATATAGTAATACAGACAACTTAAGTATGAAATTCTAGTCTTTGGTAGAATATTATTCTGAAAATTCTACATATTAATATTCTGCAATCTTAGACTTTTCATAAAGTAATCTTTAAACTGATTTACTTTTTTAACATTTTGTACAGATTGTCAGAACAAAATAATTAAGAAAATAGAATTAGTACATTAAAATCTTCCCAAATGTGAAAATGATACTGGTCCTGTACTTCAAGAGATCTTACACGAATAAATAGGAATAGTTTTTTGCATTTTCAGTTTGAGCATTGTTGAGGAAATTCTGAAATCTTGAATTTCTACGTTTGAGTTACGATTAAAATATTAAGACTTTTGTTCGTAATTATTAAGTCTTAGGGTAACATTTTGAGATTTTCTGTTTGAGGAAATTCAGTAAGAATTCATACATTTTTTCGAAAGGTCTTAAAATTATATGGATAGATATACATTTGCTGTTGTTTCACTGGGGAACCCCTCACTTAATATTGGGGCTGCCGCACAATCAATTTTCAATCGAAAATTATAAAACACAAACAAATCTTTTTGGAAGGGACCATGCTTTATGCCTCTTAATGTATTTGATCTCAAGCGCATGTGTTACAGCATCGTCGCAAACCACGGCAAAAATGTACGATCCTCTCCCATTCTGTAAGAAAGAGCTATATGTAGACTCCGGACCGTGGCTTGAGTAGATGATGTTACAGCAGCAGCACGTTTCTTCACAACTTCGCTCAAATATTCACTGTCCGTGACACCATTACATGACACGATCGATCTAATCAAACTTCCTTAAAGAAAGAGCGCACTCAAGGGAAGCTACTCTAGTTCATGGAAATAGTTGAGTTAAAATCTAAGGATTTCACATGGATTTTGTACCAGCCCCGGCAAAATTAATCTAGTTTGATTGTTTAATAAATTTTTTGGCGGTTAATTTTTTTTTCTTATTGAAAACACTGGGATAAATGAAGAACTCTCAACAACACTGCACACTATAAAAGAATTGTGATTATGAGATATTAAACCCCCAGATCTGAAATAGAACAAAAAAATATTGCAGTGTATTCCTCAATTTACAATTATACAATCAATTCAAATATTAACATTTTAATAACCAAGACATTAATTGAATGCAAAATTATCACATATTTTTTCATGCATCATTAATACACTGCAGTCATGAAATATGCTTTGTGAGAAAAGTTGTAGTTCATACTCTCATGATTTTTTAAAAAATGAAACTACTTGTTAATAAAGTACCTACGTGTCTATTTCTTCCTGCTTGTAATGTATCTTTGAAGTTCATTTATTCAACGCATACATATTTTTAGACAAATCCAGTGCTTACAAATGCAGAGAATTGGGGCATTAAAATTGTCACTTTGGATGGTAAGTATACAAAACTTGTAATTGTTTAGCTTGTTAACAAATAAAAAGTTACCTTTGAAGTTGGAATGACTGTTAGCAAACAAGTAACTCATAGCATAAGATTTTAATGCGTAGGTTATATTTATATTTTCAAGATGTTAAATATTTTCATCTGTAGATTTTAATGATAAAGGTCTTTTGCTTCAGAGGCATGAAGTAATGATCAACCAATTTTACCTTTCACATTAATTTGTTAAATGTCTTCATACATTTATTGGCAAAATGAATAATTTTTCTTTCACAGTGGCACAGAAATGGATCCAGAGAGAAATTTCCAAGCTTCCTCAGAGTAACAGTAAACCAAAGGTAAACTAAGGCTACATAAAATTGAAATCCTGGTTCTCAGACCCGCGCGCATCCATTTTGAGGTAGCCGCATTGCTAATTTTATTGTATTTTTGATAAAATAAAAAGTTGGTATTGCGGAGACCAATCCGGAAAAAGAATTCTGCCCCTTCTTTTTTCATAGTTTAGTATTCAAATATCACTTCCCGTAGCCATTTGCAATGAGATTTTGGCTACTTCGTTTGAAAATACATTTGAGGACATTGCCTACGATGTATACACGCTGATAAGCAATGGATAAAGCAGAACTTTTAATCAGACATGGAAAGTATATCTGTGATTAAAAAAGAATATCTTTATGTTAAAGAAAATTCGAAAATTAAAATAAAAAAAAATACCTCCCTCATCTACTTTATTGCCAATACAATGATAAATAAAATGCCGCCCTTCTGCATCTGTTTTGGAGAAAATTGGCCTGAGAACCAGAGAATTAAATTTCGATAGCCTAAGGAAATGCTGGATAAACAAATAATATATTTTGAAGAAAAGGTCTTCTAAAAGTCTTGAAGTGGTTACTTTATAGATTGTTTGGATTAAGTCTATAAATCTACATCCAAACATAACAGTTTTTGTGACTGTCCCTCTTTGTCAGCTTTGAAAATCATGGGTTTGATAAAACTATGGTGTCACTTTTTAGATTAATATTTGAAAAAAATTAATTTTGACTTTTTCTCAATTTTTTTTTGTAACAGAGCAATGTTAACAATGTCCAAGGAGGCTGCAAAGGTATGTTTTGTTATTTATATTTTCCTAGCATATGATATTGAATTATTAATTATTCCTTACTTTATTAATATAAGAGTTGATATCTTTCAGTGAAGAAACTAAAAACTCCATACCTGAAGCTGGAATCGGTTACGAGACAGTACAAGGTGGTTTATCATCAGGCCGAGGTTTGGCCCCATGCTAACGTAGAAACACCGCGGGGTACCTGTCCGTTTGATGGCACTTCAGTGGGCGGGGAGAAATCACGGGAGGAGAGAGGAGACAGGATTGGACTTATTCCATTAGAACCCAGGACACCAGAGTCCAAAACCGGACAGGGAGGGTCCACTAAATCACAGGAGAATTCCAAATCCTCAAACAGGTATAAACACATCTGTAATTTTGTTTATGTAAATAGTAAATATGGTGATTACATACATGTACATGTATCTGCTTGTACAGTGTAAGAACCTTCACACCCATGACTATTAAAAGAATAGGCTGTAATTTTCATTCAAAAAATCATTATGTGTTGTACTTATTGCCCTTATTCCAAACTTACAAAATATGTCAACAGATGACTGTGATCTCTGTATTATAGGATTTATTGTTCACAGAAGCTACTCATCTTTATAAATTATACAGGAGGTTTTTTTTCTGAAATTTTATTATCATCTATCAAGGGAGACAACACAGTTGTCACCCTGCACATGAGGGAAATGTCACAATTTGTCATGTGACATGCCCCAGACCAATCAGATTGACTGTATTATTCTGAAGTAAAATAATAGCTTTTGTCTGATTTGTTACCACTATCTTGCAGAAAGGCACCACAGAAAGGACAGAGAACCAGTATCATTGGTGGTGTTCGGATTGTCACCGCGGGGGAAATACGACGACGTAAGGAATTAAAGAGACTGCAGGAAAAGAGGAGAGGATACTGTGAATGCTGTGAAGTCAAATACGATGATCTTACCAAAGTAGGTTGCACATGAAAAAATAAAATTAGTATTAAAGCCATAAATGAGCTGTTAGGTATGAATTAAAAATATCTCAGCTGTTAAGGATACATTTATTTATGGTCTGTGTATGGGTACTATAAACCATTATTTTTATGCTGCTGTAATTGTGGTTAGAGTGTTTAGTCTGCTTGTCTAGGTTTGTCCACAACAACTCTTATCTAACTTATAACTTTGGTTTGAGCTAGGGTTTTTGTCCCCCTTTTGAAAAGTGGGGGATATTAATTAGAGCATCTGCTATAGAGGTAGTGTACTGTCATAAGACAAAAATTTGAGCTTATGCGATGGTAAGTGCGGCGTCCGTCCGTCTGATTGAAAAATTCTGTAAACAATTTTTCAAAACGCTACTCCTCCTACAGTTTTAGTCTGATTTCAATATTACTTGGAACACAATTTAGACATACACTAAGATACATAGAATAGTGCATCGGTTTTTGATTTCAATGAACGGTGTTGCCATGGTTACTAAAAATAGAATTTTCTGTGAAATTCCTTAAAAACGCTCCTCCTTCTACAGTTTTGGTCTGATATCAATATAACTTGGCACACAAGTAGACTACACTAAGATACATAGAATAGTGCATCGGTTTTTGATTTTGGTGAACGGTGTTGCCATGGTTACTAAAAATAGAATTTTCTGTGAAATTCCTTTAAAACACTACTCCTTCTACAATTTTGGTCTGATTTCAATATAACTTGGCACACAAGTAGACTACACTAAGATACATAAAATGGTACATCGGTTTTTAATTTCGATGAATGGTGTTGCTATGGTTACTAAAAATAGAATTTTCTGTGAAATTCCTTAAAAACGCTACTCCTTCTACAGTTTTGGTCTGATTTCAATATAACTTGGCACACAAGTAGACTACACAAAGATACATAGAATAGTGCATCGGATTTTGATTTCGTTGCACGGTGTTGCCATGGTTACTAAAAATAAAATTTTCTGTGAAATTCCTTTTAAACGCTACTTCTTCTACGGTATTGGTCTGATTTCAATATAACTTGGCACGCAAGTAGACTACACAAAGATACATAGAATAGTGCATCGGTTTTTGATTTCAATGAACGGTGTTGCTATGGTTACTAAAAATAGAATTTTCGGTGAAATTCCTTTAAAATGCTACTCCTTCTACAGTTTTGGTCTGATTTCAATAAAACTTGGCACACAAGTAAACTACACTAAAATACATAGAATAGTGCATCGGTTTTTGATTTCGATGAACGGTGTTACCATGGTTACTAAAAATAGAATTCTCTGTGAAATTCCTTTAAAACGCTACTCCTTCTACAGTTTTAGTTTGATTTCAAAATAAGTTGGCACACAAGTAGACTACACAAAGATACATAAAATAGTTCAATGGTTTTTGATAAGTACAAACCAGTAGAGCTACAGTCTCGACAGAGACTTCTGGTTGTCTGTCTGTAACGCTTTCATTTCCACATGATATCTCGAGAAACATATTGCAATGAAATTTTGCATAGCAACTCCCTATGGACCAAAAAAGACCCCTATTGATTTTGAGGTCAAAAGATCAAACTTCAGAGTCATAAATGTATACACTCTGTTTGACGTGTGAAACACTATCATTTTCGGGCGATATTTCAAAAGGATTTTGAGATTTTGCAATGTAATTTTATACCAAAAGTCCCTAGGACCTCTCTCACCCCTTTCAAAGTGTCCCGCCCCGTTTGTTTATTAGTATTTATTGTAGTACATGTCGCTATTTTTAGCACAGGGGCATGAAGGAGAGTTATTACGTATAAAACAGGTTCTCGGCGGACTCTATATTCTTATTACATCTATTAAAACTGTTTAATAAAGGTTAAATTAGACACCATGCATTGTGTAAAATTTTGACAATATATCGAACGTGAATATATACATGTATGTGACTTAATGTTTGTACAGTATATAATTTTTATACGCCCGTCTTAAGACGGGACGTATTATGTTATAGGCTTCATGTCCGTCCGTCCGTCTGTCCGTCTGTCCATTCGTGTCCGGCTCATAACTTGAATACTATTAGACCTAGGATTATCAAACTTTGACAGTTGATACTTCTTGGGTAGACGGTGTGTCGCGCACAAAAAGTAGGTCGCTGTGACCTTTAATAAAGATGCTATGGCCAAATATGGAAAAATCCTGTCCGGCTCATAACTAGAAAACTATTAGACCTAGAGCTTTCAAACTTGGCAAAATTATACATCTAAGGTAGAAGGTGTGTCGCGGCCTATTTCAAGGTCACTGTGACTTTAAATTTAAGTGAATTTTTTAAAAAACTAAGTCTTTAAAATTTTTAATTTCATAATACTAAAAAATGTAAAAATATAGTTGTATCCTTATTTAAAAATGTTAAATCAAGTAAAAACTTATTTTTTCATTATATACTTTACAGCAATCTGCAACAAATGTTAATGGTTTGAGAGGAATTCAGTTTGTCCCATGGGCATAATTATCAAACACTGGTCAAGAAGAATTTTGATAGCAGAAATTCGCATGTCAAATTAGAGAGAATTAATGAGTTTATTGTCAGGAGCGAACTGGTAGTGCAGATCTCTTATAACGCAGCTTTTATCTTTATCTTTAATCTCTTGGGAGTTGGGCAAAAAGAAATGGCCTCAAAGTAAGTTAATTAAGAATTCTTGATGGCTAGTTCAGAAAAAGATCTTTCAATTGATGAAATTGAAACAAATTGATGCTTTAAGATACAGTGTATAATAAAAACTAAATTAATATTGCATAATATAATTAAAACTAAGCCTTATTAAAAAAATGTTAAATTAAGTAAAAACTTATTTTTTTTTCATCATTATAATATACTTTTACAAAAACTGTAAAAAGCAAACTGTAGCAAATGTTAATGTTTTGAGAGGAATTCAGTTTGTCCCATGGGCATAATTATCAAGCACTGGTTAAGAAAAATTTTGATAGCAGAAATTGCATGTCAAATTAGAAAGAAATTAATGAGTTTATTGTCAGGAGTTAACTGGTTGTCTAGACCATCTCTGTTAATTCAGCTGTTATCTCTTGGGAGTTGGGCAAAAAGAAATGGCCTCATAGTTGCTTGTGTTAATTAAGAGTTCTTGATGGCAATAGCCCAGATAAAGATCTTTCAATTAGTGTTATGTAATTAAAACAAATTGATGTTTTAGTGTATGATTAAAACTAAATTAGTATAGTATAATATAATTAAAACTAATTATACATGTGTTCATTGAAAAATAATTACATATCAATTTTTATATATTTGCAACAAATTGCAGTCATGTCTCACTTAGAAATTTTAAGTCTAAAGAATAATGTATTTTTGATTTTTTTGTTAGACTGTAGCATTTCCATTATTTCAGAAAATTATGCAATTAACAATTTAAAGCTGCAGATGGATATTTGTTAAGTTCTAACACAGCCAGTTTAGAATTATATGATGTATTATTTGTTATAATTAATCCCTACACTGTAAGTCTCTTAGAGATGTATATATGTACAGTATTTTAAACATGATAAGAAATTGAAATTAGATCATTGAAATCTGTGTCAATCTGTTAATCAAGGTTATCTGATTTTTTTGCACCTTTACCAATTTATGATTATTGAACAATATATTTGACGGGCGTATCATGCTGTGGCGCGGCACTTTATTCTATGTTAAAGCGGCTCCGTGGTCTAGTGGTATGTCTCTTGCTTCACATGTGAAAGGGCCAGGGTTTGCATCCTGGAAAATCCAATTTTTTTTTTCGAAATACTTTTGTTTTACTAAATGATAGTATTCAGTATGTGAAATGAAAAATTTATGAGATCTGGCTTGTACAAACTCATAAAATTATCATTACAGTGTGATAAATATTCCATATAAAAAGAATCTTCTACACACATAATAAAGAATAATCAATCAAACCTTTATATCCATATTGGCATATTTTATTTGCTTCAATATACATTTAATAATTCTACAAATTCAGTCAAGGGTATCGGAACCCACCCCTGACCCCAAACTGTGCATGGTTTACTTTTTCCCTAAGGGGGGGACACAAATTCTCTGAATTAGCTTATATTTTTATGCCCCTGGATCGAAAGATCCCAGGGGTATATTGTTTTTGTTGTGTCTGCCTGTCTGTTTTAATGTCATCAACATTAACCTAGCCCTGAACATTTTAGTGGGTGGGGCTACGGCTTGCATATTTTCACAGGTGTATTCCTTGTTTATATACTTGTTATGAGGAGAACTTCCATAGAGTACCAGCATCTTCAACCCTGACCTTGAAGTTTGACTTACTCTTGAAAAACTCATCTTGACCATAAGTTATGAATGATTCATAGTCCACACCTTGTGATTAGACTTATCAACATTTTTTTAAACTTTAATTTGACCTTGGAATTTGTAAATTTTTATTCTTTGCCAATTTGTCATATTGGGCCATCAGTATTTCACAAGCACATTTTGTACCACCTTTTGCAAAACTGAAGGGACATTAAATCTGGTTTACCTGTCAGTCTGTTTGACTATAACAAAAGCTTTAATACAGGTCAAAACTTTTAAATGAGAAAAAAATAAATGAGCATTACATCACCTGTGGCATACCTTTCTACATGTAAATGCAGTATGATTTATTTTATTGTTAACTCTCATTTGTTATAAATCTCACTGAATCCTATTTATGATTTTTTTTTAGCATGTTAGAGAAGAGCAGCATAAAGAATTCATCAGAGAAAAGAAACATTATCAAGATCTGGACTGCCTAATTAACTCTGGTCCTAGCCAGGCAACTTTCCTGAAAGCGGGTTTTAGAGCAGTGCTGCCAAACTGCAGGTGGTACACGCAGGTAAGTAGAACTAATTATAATGGGGACTATTAAAAATTTTCCTCAAGCTCTTCCACTACTTCCAAATCAAATTTCAATTTTCAATATTTACATTTGCAAATGCGTTCCTTTATATACAATTTTTATTGAAGGTGTTTCCATGCAAAAAAGGTTTTTCCCAAAAGAAAGGTGTAAATGCAATTTCCAAAGCAAAATATTATATAAGTCCATGAAATTAATCGCAAAAAAAACCCCAAACAAAACACACATTGCTGAAGTTAATGTAGATTGCATTGCAGTAAAATTATGTACACAAAAGTAGCAAATATATTTATCGATACATTCATATTTGAAATTCGGTACATCTTAAAAGTTTCATACCTCAATATATTTTTGTTTTGAATGCTTGAAAATTTTCAATCATCACATAAAGGAAAACATGCATATATTAAATTCACTATTAATATTGAAACAGATTTGTTATATAAATATAACAATTTACTGATATACGGAAGTAGATAAGATTCACAGGGCACAATCCTGATACATGGATCTGAAAGCTTTAACATTTTTCATTTTGATTAAATGCATATGTACATGTTGTATGTTAATTAATAGGCTTCATTTTTAAAACATTTTAATATTTTTAAATTATTTTTTGCAGTAATGTTGAAAAATCTGTGAAAAGGGTAGAAGCAACACCACCTTCTGTCCAAAAATCCATGAAAACCATTTCCAGTAAAACAACTCTTAAAATAGTGAACTCTGAAGTTAAACAGAGAAGGAGACAAAGTCCTCGAAAAGTTTGGCAAAATGCAAGTGAACATGAACAGACCAAGTTACTGAAAGACAGCATAGAGCAAGACATTCGCCAGCGAAAAGAAATTCGAAGGAGCACAGAAATAGACTTGCAGCTTGAAAATCACTATGTGCCAACAAGAACGAGAAATTTTCTCTTTGTTCAAGGAACATCAAGTCAAAATAGTGACAGAGCTGGATTAAAAAATGATAATCACGCTGAAATTGGTACTAATAAACTAAAAGATTCTTCTCTTATCAACAGAAAAAATGAACAGTGTCATTCTGCAGTTGTGAAAGATTCAGTCACAGGTAGTGAAAGAAGTCCAAAAACGACAACGTGCTCCAAAGCTCTTCAAGGCAGCAGTAAAATTAGGGACCAAGAGTGCAAAAGTAATAATAGAAGGAACAAGGATAAACAGTTTCAGTCCCCTTATAACAAAGATGTTGAATCCTATAAAAAGACATTAAAATCTCCCAGAAAAAAATCACCACAACATAGAAAATCTAGAGAGGAGGTTGATTCTGTTAATGTTGAAAATGAGAAGAATTCTAGTCAGACTGTAGCTTCAGAACGATCAGCAAGGAAGTCAACTGCAGAAATAGAAGAATGTGTTCTCAAAAGAAGACTTCGTTCTCCAAAGATGGCAACTCTTCCAAATAAAGAAACGACTGAAAGCACCAAAGCCAAGGGAGAAAAAAGTAAAGTATTGGACTGTGAATTAAGGAGAGAAGGAGAAGAGATGTTGAATCAAATGATAAATAAAATTAAAGACAGCAATTCAACTGAATCTCTTAAAGTTGACATGGACAAGACAGAAGCAGATAATTTCAAAGAAAAGGGTCATGCAGAACACATAAAGACAAGAAGTAGGTCTGCTGGTTCCAAAGAAAGACATGGAGACAAGAAGGAACTGAGTAATGCAAGGAGTAAATGCAAGCCTAAGAAGAGTAAAGGAAAGGGCGCATCTTCAAAAAAGATAACTGTTGAAATTGATGAGCAAGCCAGTGACGATATTGAAATTGTCAGTTGTGATGAAGATACCTCTAGTAATGAACAGGATGTTGGTAATCTATGTGATGTAAACAATGAAAATGCCAGTGGTTTGCAGGGTAGGGTTAAGAACATGGTGGGACCAGTTAATTGTAATGACGAGCCTTCTACCTCAACCGTAACTGTGCAAAATGATGACAAGTGTAGTACTGTAGAAGTGAATGCTGTACATGAGGACGATTCGCCAAAGAAGCACAGACGCTTGAGATCAAGGAAATCTTTGTTGACAGAATATCGAGATGATACAAGTAAATGTCAAATTGAAAGAGCAGAGCTGAAAGTCCATCCGCATCAGACCAGTAAAAGCCCATCTGTTATGAACAAAATGATGGCAATCAAAAATGCCAACCTTGCCGCACCATTATCAGTTAAAAAACTTCTGTCTTCAAAACAAAAAGACTCAACAGCTAAAATCTTGCAAACTTGTATCGATTTGAAACCAGAAAAAGAAAATGTTGGTCAGTCGGAAAATGTGCAGGAAACTTTTGAAGAAGAGAAGGTGTTTGATGAACAGGTGGAAAAGTCTTTGTTTTATATTGAGAGAGTGCATCGTTTACGGTCAACTGACCAGAGGCAGAATTGTGTGGACCGTGAGCTTCAAGACATTTCGGTTAAGGTACAGGAAAGAAATTCACGTCCAAACAGTCCTGTTCCTGGAGATTGGGGCAGAAATAACTGTGTCCCTGCTTCACCTGTGTTCAAGTCCTCTCCAAGACTGGCAGGTTTGCGAACCCCAAGTAAAAGGATCATCTCATCAGCTGAAAGTGTTAATCAGACTACTCCAGTTGTGTCAAGTCCAAAGAGTGGCCTGAGTAACACTCCAAGGTCAAATAAAAGGAAAAGATGGAATAAAAGAAGAGAATCCAAAAGTGATGAAAATTCTTTAAATACTCCTAAAGTGAAAAGGTTGGAAAAGTTAAAATATCCTACTGCCAATGGTAAAAACTGTGAAAAAGTAATAGATGTGGATAATGCTGCCACTAGAAAAGAGAAAATTGGAGGAAAAAACAAAATACCCACTGGTGCTAAAAATGAAATTGATAATACTACCTCCCAAAAAATTCAGAATTCTAAAAATGAGCAGTTAGACACTACTATAACTGTAAAAGAAATACTTCGAGAAAATTTAAAATCACCTTTGAAGGACACTAAAATCAAATCTCCATTGAAACGAACTTCACTGGAGAAAAAGTGTGTTTCTCCCCGTCGAGGGTCAACACCTTTGGTGTGGAGAAATGCAAAAGGCAGTACCCCAAAGGGAAGGAAAAAGAGAATCAAGCTCAACAAAAGCTGGTCTGTGTTGAGTGACCGTAGTGTCAATAAACTTCTGCATGAAAGTGACTCTGAGTCCAACTTTGAAGGATTTGATGAAGGAGATTTAACTGGGCAAAGCTCTCTTTGTAGTGATGCTTCTTTCGTTGAAATAAATGAAGTCGAATTTGAAGAAAATTCAGACCAAGAGTGGGAGCTAGAGCAAGAAAATGTGGAAGGAAGAATGAAAGACGATGACGAAGGTGGTGTGTTTCCAGAAATATTTTCCTCCCCAGGCAAGAGATCCGACTCCTCTTGGGACACTGGCTTTGTGGATTTTATAGACACCCAGTTGTCTAACAAAAAGAAGTCACCCAAAAAGAATGCTACTTTACTGAGTGCTGAGGCAGCATCGTTGTGTTCACCAAGGAGGAGGCAAAGACTGGAATCAATACCTGAAGGTTCTACAGAAAACCAGTTACAAAGGGTAAGGAAAAGAAGGAAAGTAGAAGAAAAAGAAGAAGAGTTTCAGAGTTTTATGGTTAGTGATGTGTCGGCACAGGTGGACGAAGATATTCAGTTTAATTTTTCCAGTCCAAATAAACGCAAGTCTAAAGTTATGAAAAATAAATCCCATGAACCTAAACGAGGGAAGTCTCTTGATTACGGATTACCTGTAAAAGAGGTCAGACTGACGGGATGTTTGCTTCGAAGGCAAATGTTAAAAATGGCTAAATCAAAAACATTGAGGAGTTCTGAAAGAAAGGAGTCGTTAACTAATAGTGATTGTGAAATCGAATGTTCAAATATGAATGGACAAAAAACAAAACATAAGAGTGACAGAGAAAGTAAATGTTTTGATGATGATTCCATGCCAAATCTTTCACCCCAAGGAAACAAAAGAATTGCTAAAAACTCCATTTCTTTTGGTGGGAGATCATCAGATATTCCAAATTTATCTCCTCAAATGCAGAGACATTCTTCCCCTGTGGTCAACAACCGTCGGTCAAGGAGAACTTAAAACCATGCTAGAGTTAGAATTTTAAGCAATTATATTAGAAAGGATTGTTTGAGATGCTAAAACAATACATTATTTGTCTGTGTATATTTTAGTTGTTGAGGAAGGAATGACATGAATATTGTTGAAAACTTTTATTTTAAGATATGTAAATAAATAAAAATGTTGGATCTGTAAAATAAAATGATTTAATATTAGAACTCCCATACAAATGGTATAGTTATTACAGTGTTTAAAATAACCTACTGATATATATAAAATATTCATTGTATTGTGCAATATGAATCATATTAAACATTTATAGTTTAAAATCTGAATACTATTGAAATGTCTGTATCATCTTTATTATTAATCAAACGTGTTGAGTGTAAATTATCTTTAAAATATAGAGATTTGATTGTTCACAGCTATTACCACTTTAGAATCATCATTGTTTGTTGGGGACCAATGTTCGAAGGTCACCCTTACCCACGAATTAACATCCCCACGAACGTTGATGTTGATTACATATTGATTCATTGAACCATCGTATTTACGAGTAACCCACGAAATTACGAAGGTTGATCCAAAAGTAATGTCACAACTTTGATAAAATTGCTATAAATCGACGCAAAGCAACAAAATTATACATGATGGAAGCTATATTTATTTCAAATCAGACATGAAAAATTCAAAGGAATATGATGTATCCTTTCCAACATATCGGATTTTAAACAATGTGCGTTCATGGTAGTCAGCGCATCTAAATATAACGTCATATTACGGATACACACCGTCATACTTTTAAGCGTTTCCCCTTCGTTTCATTAAAAAAATATTTGTGATTCGCCAACAGTTTCACCAATTCCACTTTCTTTAAGAGTTTTTGGTATCATTATACACTCACTCGTTTCATAATTAAGGCCTCTGTCAAAATTTTTTGAATAGTAGCAAAGACAAACTTAGAAATTCACATATGCAGGTCACTCTGTACGTCTGTCTTTTTTACGTCAGACGCCATTATCTTTTCCGTCCGATCTCCTTTCTTTCGGTCTTCTTGTCCTCTAGCTGCTGATCATTCAGTGACCAAACACCCGCTCAAAATTGCTGAAACCATCTATTAAGATGACTCTTATTTAGATTCTTTATTCTGCAAGTCTGATTAATTAACGTTACTGTCGCTTGTGATGTTTACCATATTTTGAAGTAACAAATGCATTACAACTCGTCGGACCGTTTTCCCCCATTTCAACAATCCCTTGGATCAATTCAACAGAACAAGAAACATATTGACGCAAGCGTCAAAAATTGGCCGCAAACCAATTTATATAACTGTTGAAATTATTTCAGAAACTGAAATTTGCTGTTTTTTTTTTTGTTTTTTTTTTTTTTGATTTTTTTTATTTATTTGTTAAAATATCCTCGTGACACGAAAAAAAATGCATGCGACAATGCCGATTTTCTTCATGCATAATGCATGTACAATATTACATGTATAGGCAATATAAACTGTGCATAGTCCTCTGCGTCTCTGCACTCAGTTTGGTACAACTTAACGAACTCTGGTGAGTTTGCTGTTTAAGTAGTTTTTACATAAAACGTACAAAACTAAAGTTTAAACTCAGCTATAGTTTTACCTTAATAAAAACGCAACAAATATATAATATGTGGGGCTCCTCGCTCTCTCTTAGAGGATGTTAACCCCCCCCCCCCCCCCCCCCAACTCCTTCTAGATCCACCACTACATTTCTTCTCTTTCAATGTTGAGATGTGGCGGGAAAATGTTTGGCACATTGTAAAACGCGCTCTATCCTAGTCTCCTGGACTAACATGTCGTAATAATCTTTGCTTTTAAGAAATCAATATTTCATCATATTTTTGAAAAACATCCATAGGAAATGTTTAAATATACACTTCATTTCAAATAAATACAGCAGATCCTGTTTTAAAAAGAGAAAGTAAAACTGTTGATTTACAACGCAGGCTTTGTTTTAGACTATGCCTAACACTCGTACTAATTTTCTCCGCACTTCAGTTATATCAGAGTTTGTCAATCAGGATTGGATGAAATATTTACCCCATTATTTATAAAATTTAATATTACGATTATTGTGCGTTTTCCTAAACATTTAAACAATCTTTGTTTAATATTCGCCGGCGATATGAATGTTGAATATTTTTATTTAAATTGTTAACTCCGCAGAAACGCACAGCGACTTTTCATATCATATAACCGACCGCCTCCTGGCGGCCGGTAATAAAACAACAACGTTTATGATCACAAATTCCAATGCCGTCATTTCATTTTCAGTTAAAGACTAGAAAATGACGAGAATTGTGTCTTTTAAAAATTTGGGAGATTATGTGCTTTTTTTTAGCTCACCTGAGCCAAAGGCTCAAATGAGCTTTTCTGATCACAATTTGTCCGTTGTCTGTCGTTGTCGTCGTTGTTGTAAAATTTTCACATTTTCATCTTCTTCTCGAGAACCACTGGGCCTATTTCAACCAAACTTGCCACAAAGTATCCTTGGGTGAAAGGGATTCAAGTTTGTTCAAATGAAGGGCCTCGCCCTCATTCAAGGGGAGATAATTGGGAATTAATGATAATTTGGTGGTATGTTATAAAAATCTTCTTCTCAAGAACCACTGTGCCATGAAAGATGAAACTTATGGGGAAACATCCTCATGTAGTGTAGATTCAAGTTTATTCAAATCATGACCCCCGGGGGTAGGGCGGGGCCACAATGGCCGACCAAAGTTTCACATAGAAATATATAGGAAAAATTCTTTAAAAATCTTTTTCTCAAGAACCACTGGGCCAGGAAAGATGAAACTTATGGGGAACCATCCTCACGTAGTGTAGATTGAAGTTTGTTCAAATCATCACCCCTGGGGGTAGGGCGGGGCCACAATGGCCGACCAAAGTTTTAATAGAAATATATAGGAAAAATCTTTAAAAATCATCTTCTCAAGAATAACAAAGCCATAATTGATCATATTTATATGGAAGCATCTTTAGGTAGTGTAGATTCAAGTTTGTTCAAGTTATGACCACCGGGGGTAGGGCGGGGCCATAATGGCCGACCAAAGTTTTACATAGAAATATATAGGAAAATTCTTTAAAAATCTTCTTCTCAAGAATAACAAAGCCATAATAGATCATACCTATATGGAAGCATCTTTTGTTAGTGTAGATTCAATTTTGTTTAAATCATGACCCACGGGGGTAGGGCGGGGCCACAATGGCCGACCAAAGTTTTACATAGAAATATATAGGAAAAACCTTTAAAAATCTTCTTCTCAAGAATAACAAAGCCATAATTGATCATATTTATGTGGAAGCATCTTTAGGTACTGCAGATTCAAGTTTGTTCAAATCATGACCCTGGGGGGTAGGGCAGGGCCACAATGGCCAACCAAATTTTTACATAGAAATATATATAGGAAAATTCTTTCAAAATCTTCTTCTCAAGAATAACAAAGCCGTGAATGGTCATTGGACTACTTCTGGATTTAAACTATTTGATTATAAACCAATTTCTACTTTTTCCTAGCCACAGTGCTCAGGTGAGCGATGTGGCCCATGGGCCTCTTGTTAGAATCTTTTTTATGTGTTTGTCTTTTTCGTTCTAAAAAATACACTTTAAAACGTGACGTTCCGTTGTTACGCGGCGACACCCCCTATGCTCTATGTTTTAAACATTTATAAAATAAATTCATATAAACATTATTAAATTAAAATTTCAATGTAAATTAGATTTATATTTGTGCATCTTTTGGTATATTGTATTCGATAATGTGACGCCAAATATAAGATATGGACACTGTGACATTACTTTTGGATCAACCCTCGTACGTCCTCACGAACAGGTAAAATTTTGCTTACCGACAAATCTTGACAACCCACAAATTAAAATAATTCCACAGAATTACATAGTTTTGGATTTTATTGTGTCAAACTTGAAAAATAGTAGTCAGGTTGGATTTTTATGAAAATTTTCATTCCAAATTCAAAAAAAGTAATTTAAATAAAATGAGCATGAATAATATTTTATTGCTTTGTAGGTGACGTTCGATACTTTAACACCCTTCCCCCCCCCCCCCCCCCCCTCGGAAAAAATAATTTCTTAGGCACTGCTGTCACTTGTTGAAAACAATTTAATTTTTAGCTCACCTTGTTTGAAAGCTCGAGTGAGCTTTTCTGATTACCCATTGTCCGTTGTCCGTCTAGCAGTTTGTCTGTCTGTAAGCTTTTCACTTTCTTTTTGACAACCACTGGGCCAATTTTAAACAAAGTTCGTTTTCTACTGTTCATGTATAAGCTTTTTAAACAATTTTGCTTCACATGAATGCAAAAAGAGGTGTCTGCTAATAACGGATACCAGGGGAATACCAATAGATTATTTGAAGACACGGACTGAAAAACGACACAGATATTGTCAATCAGACTCAAACATTTTTTTTTAAATATCAATTTCAGAGTACTTGTGTGTACAATGAATTTTTTTTTTTTTTACAAAATAATTTTGCATTTGACCAATAACAAGATAAGGAAATTTATGAGTTCCAATGTCCTTGAAAAAGCAGCTGTCACTGATGTCAAATTTAATTTGGACTTTTAATTTATTGTGAGGAATAGTTGTGTATAAAGTTGAAAAGTCGTAAATTTGATTTTTCTTTTTAACAAAAGTTGTTTTAAATATTTAAGTATTCGCACTTGATTTATAAAACTGTTCACTGATATAGTGAGTTGCACAGTACTCCTGAAGTTTCTCCCCCATTGCTATAAATATTTTAGTGAGGAGTAATATTTACTGAACACACAACGTATGTTTGTTTGATTTTTTATCATGTTTCGGAATCCAGTTCAAATTCATTTTGGTTGTCAGGAATATTTTAAAAATATTCATATTGTAAGTAAATGATTAAATTTAGATTCAAGCATTAGAAAGAAGGTCTGAAAAAAAATTGACTAGATATGCGTATTTTTAAGCTACCCTAGTAAGGATACCTTGAATCTAATCAACATTTTGGAAGAAATCCGGACATGTTGAAAAGGAACAACCAATTGACAGTATCCCAAAAATGTTGAAAAATTATATTTGAAAATTATATTTAATTGATAAATCATCTATTTCATTTCATTTGAACTTAACGCAACAGCTTGCACTTGTTAGACAATGTTAGAAGTGCACTTCCATGAATAATGATACATCGAATTCTTTCTTTAGGGCATTTTTTTATGTAACTGATTATTTTATTTTTTGCCCAAATTAATTAATTCAAAGTTCATGGAAAAGTTACAGGTACCGTAAAAAAAATATGCTGCAAGCAGGTAACATGTGTAATTTCATCTTTAATTAGTTGATTCGTTTATTTTTTATTTAATGAAGATGTTTT